ATTCTTGACCCAACGCCATGTTTTGTTGATCTACTCCACCAATTTAGACCAGTTAAATGGGTCGAAAAGCCTGGTTCCCTATCCGAATAAACAGCTGGTGAATGGATGTTCATCCCCATATGGACGGTTTCCTGAATCATGGGGGTACCCCTAGCCCTAGTTATCATCCATTTATAGATGGATTTTCCATGAAATAAACCATCCAGCGAGCTTGGGGTATCCCCATTCACGGAAACCCTCATATGGGAATATGAGGTTTTGACCCATCCCCAAATGTGCTTATACAGTCGTCCACTCAGCTGGGACATCCTCACCTGCCACTGTCCAAGCTGTGGCTCTGCAGGCAGCAGCACCAAACCTTCACCGGCCTTAGAAAATCATGGGCTGGCTGTGAAATCCCGCACGAAATATTATAAATGGACCACATAATGGAGGACTGTGTGGGAAAATCATCTACAATATGATTTTCATGGATTGTCCATTTTGCCATGGTTGATTGCCGCAGGGTAACTGGGGATATTCCATACATTAGGTATATCATATTATGTCATCCCAAATTTGGCGGAGTTGGGCACAGAAAACACTCATCGCTTGCAGCGGCAGCTCCAGCTGAGTCAACTAAGGCATTAGCCCACAGCCACGTGGACCTCAACTCCTCCTGGGCAGTCTTCGCTGGAGTCAAAAAAAGTCGAAACATGTCCAGTCAGCCTGCAACTGCAATCACCAGTCAGTCAGACTTTCGAGACACATTCTACGTATGCGTTTTAATATCCCGACATCCCTCTTTCTCAACTGTCCTGGAATAGCAACAAGTCACTAGATCATCTTGAGATCATTATCACTGTATGTTTCGATTGTTCAGATGTGACTAGAGCAATATCACTATCATCATCATCCAAAGTATCTTTTGATCATGGTTTATCATAATAACAAATAGCATTATTCTATCTATAGTCTAATAGCAATGTGACTATCACTGACCATTTTTTAGATCATCATGCTGCCCAGCCGCCAGCAGCGAAAACTCCTCGCCTGGCAGGGATTTCCTGGTAAAACTCAAGGCATGGATGATCCATGTCTATATATATATTAGATTGTTTAACATGTTTTGACATACATAAATGTGATTACGCGTGGTTTAATTTCGAATCAACAGGCTTAAGTTTGTGAACGTGTATTTGCAACACAAGTTATTTTCTTTCAAACATGAAATGTCTCCTGCCTGCTAGACTGCGTTGCTCACACTCAGTCAATAGCCTGAGTCTCAAGGCAGGAAAATATGTTGCCAAAAATGACAGCTTGTCTCAAGGTTTGGACACTGCAAAATTCAACGGTTTATCATGGTTTATCATGGTTTATCATGGTTTATCATGGTTTATCATGGTTTATCATGGTTTATCATGGTTTATCATGGTTTATCATCATGTTTTCCATCTGAATATAACTATTCCTCAGGGTTACCCCATTTTGAGATATGCGGTCCACATGTCTCCACCGTTTCGGCCCCTGACCACGAAAAGCTGTTCACCGAACGAGGCCTCGGCACGGGATTGAGCTGGAAGTTCTGTGAGTCCTTGGACTGAACCATAAAATCTATCTACACATATTAATTTATATACGTATATATATATATATATGTACATATATATATATATATATTTATTGTATGTATATATATATATATATACTATATATATGTAAATATATATATAATATCAACATATATATATAAACATACATAAATATATAAATACATATAAATACTTAATTTACATCACACGGATTCACACGGTGGATGTCTAAATCCCAAAGCTTAAGAAAATATCATCGTACAGTAGCAAGTCCTTCCATGGGGAGCCGGGCCCATGCTGTGGTAAGTTCCAGAGCTCCAGAGCCTTCTGCCTCATGCTGAAAAATGGTGAAAACCACAGCCATTTTGCGCTGTATTTTTTGGCGATCAAAACTTTAAGGCTTCGGGACACAAAGATGTTCTTGCCTTTTTTGGCTGAATCATGAAACATCAACGTTTCAGATCATATGTACTCAATTTTGCCCCAAAATCAGACCCCCTGAATCCGCACCTTTCAAGGTCAGCCCTACCAATCCACCTCCATCCCTGGGCCCCTGGGACTGCGGCCACTGGCTGCTGCGGACAGTTGCTTGGAGCAGCGCGTTGAAGCCGGGTACTTGGTCCCCTTCGGAGCTCGGACCGCGGCCGTTTTTTTTTTCGAAAAGCCCATGGTACTGGCTGGTCACAGATTGAGAACCACGACGTCGTGGGGCACTTTTTTTGCCACAGATCATGGGGCTGGTCACCCAGGGGGAGACTTGGGGTCTGAAGTCCAATGTTCAGGAGCAAAACTTAGAGGCCACTCTACTGCCAGGGAAGTGCCAGGTTGCTCCCAACACCCAAACACAAGCCCAAACACTTTTGGAGCAAAATTGGTAGATAAGGAGGTACAACTAGTGATTTTTTCCACCTTGCAGCTGCCATTTACCTATAATGGATTGGAGCGACCTTGTAATATGACGCAATGCCGGAATCATGACTTGGGTGTACCTGGCTGGGGTGTAAGTTATGGTAAGCTTGGAGCACGTTTCTATAGCGTGATCACGTGATCCTTCCATGTTTAGTGCATGAGACTTGAAGGAATCCCAATCAAAGATAGGAAGGTAATTCCTTCTAGTTTTGCTGGTGATTCACTATCTTTGCCTGTGGATCACTAATTAAGTTAATCTCGTCGGTTGTGTGCATTTGGAATCCCATATGCAGGCTCATCATCGAGTTGTATCCACCAATATCTGGTATGTAAATGTATGGAATACCACATGTAGGCGGCAAAACTATTTTGGATAATGGTGGTTAGTAAAATTCTCTTCTTTTGTGCACGGTTCCTGAGAGTTGCAAAGCATGGCCAAACAAGGTATTCCAGAAAAATCAATGGTAGTTTCTTTTTTAAAAAAAAATGCTAATTAACCGATATATAAAATTCAGAAAAACTAAGCTTTCATATGTGTATGTATATATATATGTGCTAACAATAACAATAATAACAATAATAGTAAAAACAATATTACCACTAATGATAGTACTAAACTATATATATAGCAATAATACAATAATGATAATATATATATATAGTAATAATAATAGTAGTGTATACTAATACTCATCATCATCATCATCATCATCATCTTCTGCTCCAGCACCCCTCCAGCCTCCAACAGCTCCTGCCTGCCCAAGTGGCTGAATTGCTGCTTGGACCCTCTGATAACCAAACATGGCTGGACAATCAGCCACTTCTACATGATGTTCCTATGAAAACAATTGAAAATCCCACATATATATATATGTTCTTCCTACTAAAACATCCTCATTGATAGATATTTGTAGGGGATTTCCCATTGCCACGACTGATTCCCAGAGGATAACCATTGCTGAATGGAAGGTTCCCGGGCAGTTGGGGTAGATAAGAAGCTTCGGTGACCTGTAGCTATCCCAATTATCCCATAGTCACTATTCAATCTCAGTCACTATGGGTCAAAAGCCCAGTTACTAGTTACACCTCAATCTATATCCCCTAACCAAACTGGAAATTGACCATAGAACACCATATGATATATATATATATTATATTATATATATATTATATATATATATATATTATATATTATATATATATTATATATCATATATATATTATATTATATATATATATATGTGTGTGTGGTCTGTGGTGATATTTCTCCTCCTGCCAAATTGATCCAACTTGCCGTTTGAACATGTTTGAACTGCAACCAAGAAGTGTGGGCTCTATTATCAGTCTAGGCACCCAATGACAACCCAGAAATACCACTCCAACGAATTCGAGCCGAACACCACACAAGACCGCATGACCACTGAGCAAACAAGGACGCTCCTGGCCATGGAAGCTTAAACCCTAACATGTCCTGGCACTTGCAGATATTTGCATCCCAAGCTATGGGGGGCTCACCTTTTTCCATCTGCAAAAATGGAGAAAGTAGCCCTCATTTTTTGCCCAAGTTACCCAAGCACGGTACCCACGGCCTCCAGCGAATCCAGTGACAGGAGTGCTGCGTGCTGCCACTGATCACCTGCACATCCCAGATCCCCAAAGACCATCCAAAGGGGGGATGGATATCAGCACGGCTCGTTGGCTCGCAGGGCTTTTTGGCGAACGCGCAACGGGGCACCATCCCAGGGAGCGGTCCATGGTCAAACCACCGGTGACTTTCGGACATGAGCCATGTCTTCGAACCATTTCCAGCCATAAATGTTACTTAATGTTACATACATGGTTCAAATATGGGTATTTACCCTTCAAATTAGATTTGCAGACTTTTGTAGATACCAAATCAATCCGAATCAAATGACCAACATCTGTGGCTTCCATCACTGAAACACATTTGACCAACTCCAAACATTGCACCAAACATTGTACTTCTGGCTTAAAAATGGCATGACAGTCATATTAAAGTGGTATAACCATAGATGACCATCCCCAATATGGTAATCATCCCCAAATCCCCTATATTATTGGGTTATAACCATCCCCATAATATGGTCAATATGGTTATCATCGTATATGTAACCCAAGAATAACCATCCCCAAAATCACCATACTGTAGATGGCTGGTAAAGACCATCTCCTCATGGTAATCAGTGCCTGGAATGATCCCCTTGGTGCCAGGGCGCCTTGAAATTCCGGCGCTGGTGGATGATTCAAATGGCATAAGATGGTTTTAGTATGATACTATGTACTGCCTCCCAGAAATCTCATGGGAAATGATTGACGGGAAAATCTACAGCAAAAGGATTGCTGTTGGCCCATTTTGGCGCCAAATTGATTGGGTTTTTCGGTTTCAATGTTCCCGACAAGCATTTCCGGGAGAAGAACAAAAAGATACCCGAACATGGAGATGATCGGATGATGTCTGGTAGATGTTTTTTCATGTTTTTTCATGTTTTTTCCATATCATGGCAATTTCCGAGGGCATTGGTGAACGATGTGAGAGCATCACTGCTCTACAAAGGGTTGATATGGCGGAATGGGCTCATCCTGTCCACGTCGTTCCAGTGGATACTCCTGCGATGCAAGCAAACACTCTTTGGACACAGGCCAAACAACCAGCAATATTCAATATGTACTCTCTGGAAAACCACTGGGTTGGTTTTTGGGAAACAAAACGCTGAAAATCGCAAACGTAGCCGCCTTTTATGTGTTGCAGCATCAAGGCTGCAAGTGTGTCCTTTTTTTCCAGCCACACATGGCAGCTTTACAGCAACCTTTGCTTTGTAGAAACCAAATCCCATCCAACTGGTGATAAAATGCGTCGTTTCCATCTGTTAACAATTCTTTTTGGAGGTTACAGTACCATATATATATATATAAAAACGTGTTTCACCAACAATCAACAATACAAGGGATCTATCTATCGCTAGGAGTTGACCCGTCCTTGAATTTCTGCAGGACGATTTGGGTGCCTTTGATCACGTTGCAGCCAGCTGTCCATGTCCTCATCCAAATGGTTGGTCCATAAGCGATGATAAATATCTAAACCGTGGTATTATTTAATATCATGGAATTAACCATGTGGACTTAACCAATGGTATCTAAACATTTAAATCTTATGATGATCTTAACCATGTGGACTTCCATTCATAAGCCATAAGTGATGATAAATATATTACTGGTTGGTGGTTGTGGTATACCTACCCCTCTGAAAAATGATGGAGTTAGTCAGTTGGGATGATGAAAATCCCAATATATATGGAAAAATCTAAAATTCATGCTCCAAACCACCAAGCAGATTAAATCTTATGATGATCTTAACCATGTGGACTTCCATAATTTATCCATATTTATCCAACTTTCCATGATTAAAAGATGTTAAACGCCCAAGTCTGTGCTTCAGCCCGAAATTCAGATGGTAAATATATCGGTTGAACTTGTAAGATGGGAAAACATATGGAAAAATGAGGGCCTAGCATCAAGGCATCCTTCGCAAGGCAGAATCACCACTTTGGGAGTTCGAACTTTGCACCTGTGAAGGAATTAAAAACATGAACGAAATTAAGATGTTGTTACACTGCCATGTGGCTCAAAATTTTGCCTGAAACATGAATCATCACTTCAAAATCCGTCAAACATTTCGCCACCTTTTTTTTCGCCATAGCCGTCGTCACCAATCGGGTCCTCAAACTTCGGCTGTGCGATGGATACAGGATTGCAGCACCAGGCTCCATGGGCAAAAAGGAGACACCATACTCACCACGGCAACCTCGCCCAAAGGTGGGCAACCGGATTTTTCTGAACATATAGGGTGTATATATATTACTAGTATGTATATATATATATTATATTATATATATTATATATATAATTATGTACAACAATAGATATATGATATATCTGATAATATCTGATATATGGTTACTAAATGTTACTAATGATTATTGATGGTTATTTAACATGTCACAACCGAAAATCATGTCATCAGAACGGCAGGGGTATCCCATTTTTGGGGGACAAACCCTCGAAGTGCATCCCATCCATCCCGGAGTAAATTCCGATCTGTTGCTGGAAACTCCTTGGGGATTCTACTGTGTTTAGTCGTTCCCTTCCCTGGATCATCTTGGATCTAACTAATCCAAATAGCAAATCCCACTTCTGAGATATTTGTTAAGTCAAGTCATCAAAATCATCAAATTCCTACATGGACATGGATCAACACCTATTACACCAAATATAATTTAATACTTGTTTCGAGATTATCATTCATAACTCCCAGCTAGTTTGAGGTTCACCAGGAGTACAGTTAGTAAAGGCTCTTGTTCCGTCGCCATAGCCATATTGTGCAGTGAATACCCTCTGGTAAACTAACATTGCTATGGAAAATCACCATGTTTGATGGGCAAATCAACTATTTCTATGGCCGTTTCACTTAAGAGGAACCCCCAGTCCAACGTGAGGTGAACTCTTAACCATCAATGGCCATGTTCAATAGCTTTTTGTATACCAGAGGGTATGAACCATGGAGATCCATTGAGGGCGAAGCGAAGAAAGTTCGCCTGTGACTGTGACCTGAGAATCTGCGCCCAGGGAGCTTTCTTCAATGAGATCCATGAAGGGATGCTCCGCATGGACATCGAAGAAGGCACGGCGGGAGAAGTTCCGCTCCGCGCCGCCAAAGAGGTCCTGGCCAGGCCCGGAAATGATGGAAAAATTCGAAGGAAATCCATGTCGCTCATCAATTGTATAGAGAAGGAAATGGTCAAACATGGGATTTCAGGACATATCCGGAAATCATATTCTGATCGATTTTAGTAAGGAAAACATGAGAAGTCAAAGAAGTCAAAGGTTTCTGGTGGATTTGCCAACTTGAGATCGACATGATGAACACCAGAGGCCCCGCAAGAATGCCTCAGTCAGTTTGCCTTTTGCCCAGTCCATCTGCATCGTTATGATCCTAACAAAGAACAGGCCCTTTGATCCCTTTGTGGGTCAATATTGGTACCCCATTTTGGTTTTGACCTCAATTTTCTTGTAGCCGCACATCCAGTGGCTCAAGACATTTTAAAACCACGTGTTTCCCAGTCGAACGGCCATCATATCAGGTATGATTGCCCCATGAAACCGGACAAGCCCATTCCAGTATCTCTATTTTTATCCCCATTTCTGTTGATGAAATCCATGTACATCTCCTAAAATTCAGATAAAACCCCAGAAAACAGACTCCCAAAGCTGATTCTGGCATTGAATCTTGCCCTTGTTCCACGTCAAGTCCGGGGCATTTCACCCATCCTGCAGCGCCGCCATGAATTGCCGATGCCGCTCGGCTGGCTCTCCGTCTTTGGGAGGCCGCCCGGCCAAGGGAAAGATCCGGCGACCACCGGAGTCAGGCAGCTGCAGATAGACCATCAGCGTCCTTGGTGACGCAAGTGGCGGAACCAATGGGTCCAGGTGGGGGATTTACCCAGACCCTGATGGATCAGTGGGATTTGTGATGAGATACAGAAAACCAGATAAGAAAAGATCATTCGGTATCTGTTCCTTCTCCAGAATTGCTGAATTTATTGGCTGATCGACATCGAAGTTGCTCGCTCTTTGTGTTCGTGATATAATTTTTGGGGAACCCTAAATACCCCAATATTCCCGTTTTTATCTATAGCATCACCAGATTTTTGTTGCTGCGATCTTTCTTGGACACCAAAGAAAACTTGTTTTGTGCGAAACCAAAATACAAAGCATTAAGCCCATTTGCCCATGCATCATTTTACCATGTGGGTTATCCCCCCCAAAAAAAAAGGCATTGTTAGTGTCAATGCTTCAGGTGAAAAGCAAAATCAGGAAATCAATGGAAATCATGCATTGCCTCTACATCTGTCTACAATGGAAAATCAATGGAATCAATGGAAAAGCAAAATCTGCGATGTTTTTTTTGGTTCCCTCAACCACTGCTGGGAAGGGCCCAAACAAATTTAAGGCCGGGTCGCCATGCTCGGTGGGGCCGCTCATGCGAATCATGGTGAAGTCCGAAGGGTGGAAAGAAACCACCACGTGGAGAGTCCTGGGCCAATCGTGGGCCGTGGCTGGCTGGAAAATCATTTTTTTCATTTCGCGCGACAAAAGGGGTCAAGCCCTTGCTGCGAACTTGCACAATGAATTAAAGGTTCTGGAAGTCAGGGAGCCTCTGTGCATTGGCTCGGATTGCAGCACCGGCCTTCGCAGCACAATCAATCCATGCATCCAGTTCCTCCGGCTCCCCTGGCAGGCCAGTGCGTAGCCGGTCACAGCCAAGGAGACGGTTGAATTGACTGGCAATTGCAAAAGCCAGAGCAAAACAAAATTGGCCCGGATACTCTTTATGTCGGGCGGTTTTGAATTCACCATTGAGGTCTTTGCCGATAGCAGCACCTGAAGGTCTAACCGCGTCACTGAGAGACTTTCTGTACAAATCACAGCGAAAAAACGGCAGAGCCCAGGTCAGTAAACCCGTAGGCTTAACAGCGTCTGCTCCCCAGCAATATTGGGCAATATGGTGAAGATGTAGGTCAGGCAAGGTCAAAAGCAGCTGAACAATGGGACTAGTCCAGATACTTGGACGAGTATCATCAGTCGGTCTCGCAGGGTGTTCACCGATGAAAACTCCGCCACATGTGATATGGACACAAAGCACCCAAATGCACTGCAGGAAAAATTCACTCCCCACAGCACACTGCTTGAGCTCCCTCATGCTGAGGCCTTCAAGGCCAAATAATCTGTCTGCCGAACGTAGTGGTCTCGGCCATCGCACATCCTCCGAAGGTGCAGGAGTGTACCTGGCTTCACTGAACGTCTCACACGGTGGCCCGCAAAGCGTTGCGGCCACACGACCTGACAGATAGATAGCCTCAAGTGTGTTCCACGAAACTGTGCCCGTCAATAGATTGCCATATTCCACAGAAACAGCGGTATCCAGTGACAGCACAATGACATTCCAGTTGTGCGACTCGGCAAGCTGATGGAGAGCATGATGAAAATCCCCAACTCGTCTACGACCACTGAACAGATGAACCACAAGAAATAAAGGCAACTCCGCAACAGTCTTATACCTAGGGCAAAGAACAGAAGGCGGGAGATCAACAAATGCACAGGTGCGTAGATGCTGGAGCCAATACTCTTGGGAGCCATAAGCTCTTTCAATAGGCTGCCGCACCCGAGAATTAGTCTTGGGGTGCTTCAGGCCAGGATGCTCAATCTGGACAGGTCGATGCGGGGCAGGTGGGGTTTCAACACAATGTCTCAAGCTGGATTCCAGAAAGGCAATTCGGCTAAGCACTTGATACCTCGGTAACTCAGTAGCAAAATCTGCATACAGTTCGTCAACGATCTGCTCAGCCTCGCCGTCTACAAATCCAGCTATAATGTCAGGAAGCCAGTGATCGCCCCAAGCAAGAAAGACAAAGGCCAGCCAATTATCCCACAAGGGATTATTTTCTCCAAAGTCAATACAAAGGATCTGGATCCAAGTGTCAATCAGCTCCTGCTTGGCCGCCTCAGATGGGCCACTAGGGAAATAGCGACAAAACCATTGCTGAGTAGCATCTGATAGTGCATCCCCAAGCAGCGCCCCTTTGTCCATTGCAAACTCCGGTTGGTCAGAGATCACCAGCTGCGCACGACAGTTCTCTAGTTCTTCCTGCCAACATTGCCTCTGCTTGGCGAGACATGAGATTTGCTCTCTGCGGGGACCAAATGTAGGAAGGGATTCCCTCCTCGCCAAACCAATCACTGTCTTAGGCATTTTTTCGACTTGATAAGTCACATTTCGCCCTTGTGAAGAAAGTGCATGGAAACATGGATTATATCCAAGGCTTTTGGGAATATAGGCCAAATGCTGCTGCAAACGCTGAGTTGTCCAACAAAAACGTCCACAATGCAGACAAACGGCACCTTGTAAGTAAGGTCTTTCAATAGAAAAAATCTGGTGCTTTCGACGTTGGTTTGCCAACAAACCCCGGTTAGATGCAAAGCGGGCTCCACAAAAGCAAGCATGTTCATTGATGTCTGATCTGTGTCTGAAGGGTTCTGGCTGGAAAGAAGCTCCGGCATTTTGCAAGACAGCAAAAATTTTCTTGTGCAATTGAGTGACCTTAGTCATGATCCGCTCCTGCATCTGATGCTTCTTAGCCACAGCCCTAACTTGCGATTTCCAAGGAGATCGTTCGGTCTGCCAGGCATCAAACAGCGACGTCAAATCATCCTGCCAATTGAGTGGCAGAATGGTCGCATCGACATCATGCATCCACTGTAAATCCGCTTTCAAACCATCCAGCCATGAATCAGATACTGCCGCCGCTTCCAAATGAATCGCATTTTGCAGGAAAAACGGCCCAACAGCAAAGACCTTCTGAGCATAGAGGAGTCTGTCCACTGCCAATCGCGCTCTAACATCAAGAAACTGAGCCTCTGCCAAAACCTGGTCATTACTCTGTGCCCACTCGTCAAGTGGCCATCTGAGCGCCTTTTTAAGGCAATTGACATAAAACCCCGTCAATCGTTGCAATTGTTTGGGAGTTGGAGTGTGCCAAGCTCCAAGTCCAAAAAACAACTTTGACAACACCAAAGAATGGAGGAGTTTTAATCTCAGCTGAGTAGGTAAATGTCGGTTCGTCAGCAGAGGACGCGATAAATGGGTAAAGGCAGAGCTGGCAACCCCTATACGCGTGGACAACTCAACGTCCAAACCATGATCAGAGGTAAAGATTGTACCCAAGTGTTTGTACGCAGGGACAAAGTGGAGCCAGGCCTCAGTACCATCATTAAAGACACATGGTACTCCAGGTTTGGAGATCAGCTGAAACTCTTTACGAAGGTTGCTGGCACCGGTGCCACGAAAGGAGACAACTGCGTTAGTTTTTCCCAGAGCAAAATTCAAAGTGAAGCCTCGCTCATGTAGACAATCCCTTACGGCCTTTAGGAGGTCTAAAAGCAAAGGCACAAGACTCTCAGGGTTATGTGTGGCCACAGGAACCGCAATATCATCCGCCCAGAGAATGCTTGGGAAAAAATCATCAATAGCAGGGAGAACAGGCTCATGCACAGCAAATGCCCTAATCCACTCATCAATCTCTTTTGCAACCACTGTCATAAGAATGTGGAAGACAATGTCTGCAAGGGGACTACCAGGTCGTGTCCCACGTCGCGTGTGTACGTATTGATGAAATGGCAACGAACACCAGGTTTCAGCATGGATATCACAAACCAATCGAACCAAAGACCTAGGCGCACCCAAATCAGACAAGAGACCAGGCAGCTGACAGGCGGCATCCAGTTTCTCTGCCGGGTGTCCCGAGTTGCGCAGTACATCCAAAACTGCAGTCAAATTGTGGGAGGAGGAAACGCCAGTGACCAACTCTCGCACAAGGTGATGAAATGCATTTGACAGGTCCAGAAAGAGAACTGCGCTACTAACTCCTCTTGCATCGGCAATGTTACCGAACAGTCGCAATGCTTGCGATCCAAACATAACCTGTTGACCGGGAAAGCCACCTAGTTGTCCTGGGGCTTTGGCATGTTCTAGATGGTTCATGATACGGGTCCTCAGCACTGAGTGAGTACGCTTAGCCATGTTGCCCAACAGCAAGATACCACGAAATTGCTTTGTTGTTGTGGGAGCAAGGCATTTAGGTATGATGGCAACAGGGCCTCCTTTGTATTGGAGCGGTTCAGTCTGCCACACAAACTCCTTGAGGAGCAGGTCATGATAACCGGCAGCAAGGGGGCAGGCAGCCCGATGGAATATGTCCGAAGGGAGCGGATCATCTCCTGTTGCACGTCCTGCTGTGGTTTTCCTGAAAGCGTCCTCAAGTGCGAAAAGGGATGGCAGTTCCATGCAATCCATCTGACGCGGGGCATCAAACAACGCACAAGATTGTCTCTCAAGACAGACTTTCAGCAGCTGCGGGATAGTCGTGGGGGTACCTGCCTCCAACTGGCAAAAATGGTCGAGCCATTGATCTTCTAAACCCTCAAGCTGGAAAGGTGGAGTCGTCATCCGCCTTTGTTGGAATTTGGGTAGAGACCTGCGCACAGTCCTCCACAACTGCTTCACTTGGGATGGTCCCAGGTAATCAGTGCAGTCCCGCAACAATCCATCAAAGAAAACCACATCATCTTGTCGCAGTCGCTTGACGACCTGCCGACCCAGCGTGCGGAATCTATGATACTCAACGGCAACAAGACAGTCCTGCTGGTGCAGCAGGTCATCAAAAGCCGTAAAAAGATCAACCTGAACAAAATCAGCTTGTGAATGTTTCCAACAAGCAAACCAAGCCGCCAGTTTAGTACGATACTGCGTTTTCGGTTGCATCGCCAAGGCATTACGAGCATCACGCTTTTGGCACACCAACTCCCAAGTCTCAGTAGACATGGTGGTTTTGCAAGGCGTGCGTCCCGGCTTGGTGTGCAAGTCCCACAAGTTCGTGACTAAGTCATGTTGGATCTGTTGTGCATGTGTGTGTACATCCAAGGACCAATCGTACGCAGGTAAAGCAAGGACATCAATGGGCAAAGACTGTTGTAGGTTCAACTTGAACGGTTTGTTTTGTTTCGAAAATTGCTGTGTAACTACTTGACGAGAAAATGACACAACAGGTGCTCGGTGATCTTCCTTTGTGAGGCCAACATCAATGCTTGTGCTGACCCATGATTTGCACGTGTCATAAACCCATTCAGCGGGCAGCCCCACAAAGTCGTTCCTGCACCACACTCCATTAGCATGGAGCCATGTACCACCATCGCCAGCATGACATGCTTCGAAAGTTGCTGGGAGGAACAAACCTTGCTGCCTCACAAACTGGACAAAACCTTCTTCTTTCCCATTGGCCTTTTCAGCTTGGAAGGGTCCAATGTGTTGACACGGTTCGGTGCCAATTCTCGCATTAGCGTCACAAAGCAAGATCCGTGGCCACAAACTGTACTTCCCTGGGATTTGCCGGGCAACATTTGACCACCAAGAGTTGATTTCAGATAATGATGCCCCTGTATGGGGTGCATGACAGGCAATCAGAATGGCTTTGAAAAGACAGGTCTTGATCCTTAAAATGAGAAAACGGGGGTCAGCCACTACAACTGCCGCATCGTCTTGTGCAAAGAAGACTTTCTGCACAACCCCATTCTTGTAAAGGTGACCAATCGGCCGGTGTCGAGCCAATCCAATCAAGATACCATATTGCCCTGCCGGAGTGGCTGCTGATCTGTAGAGCCAAAATCTTTCATCATGTTTATTCGAGGGGCGCTTCAATCGAGTTTCTTGCAAAGCGAAAATGTGGAGTTGAGCATCCTCAAACTGTTGCATCACACTTTCCTGCCGAGCCGGCCCATTACAAGGTTTGAACCCATCCGTTTTTCCAGGCAGGAGAGTAAGAACATTACATGTGGCAAGAGTCAATGCAAGTTCACCAACAATGCTAGGTGTGGCATCAGCGCCATTTGTTGGAGCAGGAACAGGTTCATCCAGAGTGTCTGGAAACGGGGCTGGCGCTGCAGGCAGAAGGAGATCAGTTTGGTCCCATCTCACATCGCTTCGAAAGAAAAACCAAAACCATTCCGCATATGAGACAAAGGTCTTTGCCGTCATCTGTTGCAGCCAGTCCTCCAAATCATGCAGTGGTGAACCTAATGCAGCTTGATGCGCCAACGTATCGACAAGCTCATTACCTGGTTCCCCACTATGGGCTTTCACATGTTTGTAATGGACCTGACTACCAAATCTCTGTTGAATGCACTTGTGCAAACTACGAAGAAGATGACCTGCTTCCGGAGAGGAAACTGCTTGCCAGGCTCCCTCCGTTTGTTTCCCTGCTGTGAGGGAGTCATAGCAGAATTGGACCTCAGTCAGTGCAGTGTCATGGTTAGTTCCAATCAGTTTCAAAAGGTCAAAAGCAAATTTTGTCGCAAGGATGCTTGCAGCAATTTCTGCTTGATAGGCGGTCTTCGCTTTTTCAAGTTTGGTAGAGAGAGCACCCGCAAATTGCCAACAATTCTGCACCCAAATAAACGCAGCCACTGCCGCGCCAACTTGAGGTCCCCCGGCAGTTTTGAGGCACGAGCCATCAAAGTAAAGACAAAGATGGGAGCCACCTGCATTAACCTCCCACCAATCCCTTGTCCACTGTAGGCAAACCGGCAGGAAAGGAAATGAAGATGGAAGATCATAGGTTGGCAAAAAGAAATGCGTATCCATCCAGTCAAAAGCAAGAATGACTTGGCGAAACGCAATTCTGATATCCATTGCGGACAGCTTACATTGATCCAACCAAAAGGTAATGCAGCATCCAGAGGAGATTTCACATGTGAAGTCGAGTGGACACATACGACCTTGCACATAGCAAGTTACAGCCTCAGGTGTTGGGTTACCTTGTCTGCCTAACAGGCAAGTCCACATTTGCGTCAAAGGGCACTGAGAAGGTGCAAGCAAAGCAACATGCTCAACAAAGTGCTGATTACTGACAAGTACTCTCTCTAAGACCAAAGCAACCTCATTTGTATGACCAGCCTGTCCCTGTCTGCCATCTATAACAAAACAGGTTTGGTCCATACTCTGGTCAAATGGGACACAATTTCGCATGGTCTCAACTGCAAAAACCTGGCACGGTCTTCCAGCTAACAAATCAGCCCAAAGAGCTTCTGCATGTCGCACCAAGCAGGCAGAAGCAACAACGATCTTGGTTCGAGGAACTCTACAGATTCGATGAGTATCATCAAGATACCAGGACAAAAGCTGAATGCGATGGTCAGGCCCGGCTTTGTGCTTTGTTGCAACTCTACTCTTTTTAAAATCTGTTTGAAGAAGATTGAGCGCACTTTCACTCGAAACCTGTGGCGCAAATGGGGGTCGCCAGTCAGCGGGCAGAAATGCTCTAGTGATCTGGACATCAAAGCAATCACCATCCCGAACAGGCCAGCGCGTATCACCTTCCCAGGTGGCTGATGCAGCATGGACCTGACAACTAGCTCCCTGGAGATAACACTCACGATCATAGCCCAAAGCTTGCAAAAGTGCACTTCTGACCGCGTTCTCAGCGACAGTAACAACACTCCTAAAAGGACGACTATGTTCTATAGCCACATCTCTGACCGTGACAAGGGCTGAGGACATGGTGTCCAATGGATGCTGTAGCAAAATCACATGGCCGGCTATGCCTGGTTCAAGTTGGTGGGGCGTAGGTTGCACAACATAAATCTCAAGCGGTGCACCAGGATCAATCCAGTCACCCCAAAGCTGGCGGAGATTATCTTGCCATTGGTTGTAATCTCCAGTCAGCGTGATCTTTCGTGAGAATCTGCATCTCCCGTATCCCGTACCAGGTGAGACAAACCAAGTCAAAAAACATGCGGCTCGCGCTTGTCCATTCTGGGTGAGTGCTGCTGCATCCCAAATCGCAAACAAATCTTGAATGGATTCAGGCTGGCCTTCAATAGGGACCGCATTGGGTATAAAGACACTCGCATGTGGGTTCAATTGTGAACATGTAGATGACGTTTGCATCAACGAAAGGTCTTCGAAATGCAACTCTGCGACCTCATTGCCGTCTGATGTCTCTTCCACAGGTTCAATACGAATCCTCAGACTCTGTCCAGAAACAACGTCAAACCATTGATCGGCATGGAAGTGTTGCATCTGCTGGACTACTGAACATCGTCGACCAGCGCAAAAGTGGACAATCTCCATAGTGCGTATAAAAGATGGTAGATTTGTCCGACTATTGATGGAGAAGGCACCTTGGACAACACCATCATGAGCGAACCCTTCCAAGAGGGCTGTAAGCACCAAGGCTGCTTGATCCGGTCCTCTCCTTTGTTCAAGCAAAAGATGACATGTGAACCTTTGAGCTCTAATCTGGGGCGGTTGTGGCTGTACCAGAAAAATTGAGAAAGCACTGTGCCGGTCCAAAACATCGGCCCATGCATGACGCAAGTCTTCAATCCATGTCGCAGCATGTCCATACATGCGAACCACTCTCGGTTGGCGGCAAGTCGGTCTACGAACATGGTCAACATACCATGTAATAACATCCATGGAAACAGCTTCAGACCACGGATCCACATCTCCAAACTGATGCATTAAAGTTCCAAACTGCAGGCTCCATTCAAACTCCCCATCATGAACTGGCCGTGAACGTGGTGGTAAGGTTGGGTTCGGTAGCGACATCGCTAAGTCATCTGGCTCCTCAAAGGGAGCAGGCTTGCATGTGACAATCTGTTGGAACATACTGACATCATCGGCAATTTCATCCGTGTACAAATCGATTTGGTGCGGTGAGATCTCTACAACTAAATGACTCCCTGTGTGCAACAAAATGTACTCGCCGGACAAATATGTACAACCCTCATATTGTACCAAAGCCGGTCTGTGCGCATGTTCAGCTGGCACCGCAAGCCTGAGTATTGCTCTCACAGATTCACGAGCCCGAAAAACATGGGCAAATCTGCGGGTACGCAGCTGCAAAGGCGCAACACCACGTAGTGTGATCAAGACCGCAAACAAATCCTCAGTAAGCCCTTGGTGGAAGAGAATGTGAACTTCCTGTGGAGCATGCGATGAACCGGATAGCAATCCAGGTAACACATAAAAATCAGCAGGCGTGGCACGCAAAAACTGTTCTCTCCATGGAAACATAATCTCCGTCCTCCACATAAGCGGGTCATCTGAAATTCTTGCATATTGCGGCAAGCTGCAGTGATAATTAGGGTGCACATTCAAGTACCAACTTGAGACCCTTAAAAAGGGGCCAGAGTCAAGAGAGTCTCGTTCATGAAACCGGTCAAAATGTTGTTGCAATACTGCAATCCATCCAGGCCGTCCGTCTGGTATCACAACTGGCAGATGCGATGGCAAAGCATCATTATCAGGGTGAAGGAATGCAGGTTCAACCGGTCGAATGAGAATCTCAGGTGAGATCGCTCGCTGCAATGTGTCACGCAACGTAACATCATCCATATTCAGCAGACTCGTAAGGTCGATGGGCACTCCACGGCTGATGATAAGACGAAAAGCATGCCCCATGTGGACATTCACCACATGCGCTTCATCAATGGGTATCCGACCAAACCACCAGCTGCAATGATTTCTTCGATTTTCAGGCGGGCAATCAAGTGTAAGATGTAGCGTTACCAGAAGCCGTTCTAGATTAGCCTGCCTAGGCAAAACTAAGGCAAAGGTATGTGGTGACCGTTCCATGTCGGGGTCCGAATCATACACCGAAAGCACAGCTGACCTAAGATCATGTGTAACCCTCTGAGAAAGCACAAGCTGTCCAATGATTCCTGCCGCGGCATCCTCAGTTTCAGGGTTGACCAAATGAAAATTGATGTCTGCATTGTCAATGATCTTGTCTCTCCACGTTTCAGTGAGCGTAAGCTTCCAAGTCCTCACATCATCAGAAAGCAAGGAAATGCGTGAAGCATGGCAACGGTCAAAGCTAACATGATCCAGAAACCAACTTTCAACTCTACGGGTGCGTGGCAAGTGTGCCGGCGATGAGATTTCTTCCTCTGCAAAGCTATCCAACAAAACTCTGAATGCTTCAGGCAAATTGAAAAGCGCAGCTTCATCATGAGCAGGCATGTCTTGTGGTTCCATCCTAGCCGCTTCTTCGGCAGCAGAGATGGCCTCAAGAAATTCATCCGTAAAGCTACATTGCGGGGCGCTGTCATGTGCAGAAACTTCAATAGCTTTGCTTTCAGATCGATGTTTTACCACAGGCTTATTCAGGTCGATCTGTACAAGATTCGTGACATCTTGCAACGGCACATCATGTGTTGGAATCTGTTCAGGCAAAACTTGCATCGAAATACCCAGACCATTCCTAATCCCAATTTGCTCTTGGGAAGGGTGCACAACCGGATGCAGCCATCGGATTCTGTCGTCTGGGAAACGTGCAAACAATGGAAAGACATCCCCAATGTCTTGGCGAGTGCATGGATTTGGCAGAGCAACTGCACATCGAACAATAACATGGGGGGTTGTCGGAGCGATAAACTCAAGGGAAACCAAGACTGTTGAGAGCCTACTAGTCCCTTGTGAAAACAGGACATGAGCGATATGTTCTTCCACGTCTGCGCGAGGAGTAAAAGGAGAAACCATGTCAATAAACAAAGGCAGATCAGGTCGAATATGAAATCTCCAAGGATGTCTGAGGTCCTCTTCCCATTCCGTGGGGTCTCCCCCAAGGATCGCTATTTTGGGTGTGAAGCAAGCCTGATGGGAACTATGGTCGATATACCACGTATATACAGAGAAAAGGAACTCCTCCTCAGCATTCTGATCCAATGGACATTGGGAGATATGACGGTCGACCAACCTTTGAAGATCAATGTTCCACTCTTGCAAATCTCGATTGCCTGAGCTACTTTCACTCCTAGGAGTAAACAGTATATCCTGGCCAGTGTCACTTGACAAAGATCTTTGCATGGCGTGAAAGTGGTCATCCTCAACTTCTGCAATCACTAAGTGTGGCGTGGCTAAAACACGAACTTCATCATCTCCCAGAAGACTAGGTGAATAACCGCCATCAACTTCAGGTGCAGTAGTAATTTGTATGATATCTTCATCCGACATTCCACGTTGTGTCCAGTCAACAACCTGCTGTGTCCCACACAGAAACCTTTCAGTGGGTGGTACTGCAATTTTGAAATAGTCGCCATGTGCAATCTGACGAACTTGCAGATCAGTATCTTGCCACCTTTGATTACCATGCCACACAAAACATCGGTCCCGCTCTTTTTGGCAATAGATCTCAACATCTCCCAGCACAAGGATAGAAGCACGATCAGTCCATTCAGGCACAGGCAAAACAAAACGATGTGTCCTGGGCCCTAGCCTAAAATTCGGCTCCGTATTGTGCGCATGATATTCTACATCAAAAAGGGCAAGTTTCGCTGCATGTGCAACAGCAATGTCCGGAAAAAGATGCACAATAACCGGCACAGCATCTGGTGGGATTCCTGGAATGTCGGCATTGATCTCATATGCATCAACAACATTTTCAACAATTGTTGAGTAATGTCCAGCAATGTCTCTAATCATTTGGTTGTAGCTGCTCCAATCAAGAAATGCTCTCAAAGGGGGGTCTCTCCAATGAAACATGATGACTTCTTGGAGGTCATTCGTGGAACTTGGAGGCTGGATCCCAGAGCTAGCGGAGGGACTAGGATCGTCCAATGATGAAGCATCAAGACCATCTGGGTCATGGTCCCCATGGATCAAGCGCTCAGTGTTTGTTTGACCTTCCCCTAAAGCGTCCAAAAGATTGGTTTCTTGCTCAGTATGGATATCGTGTTTCATCTGTACAGTCTGCATCAGTAGCAATGCATCAAAACTGGAATCCAAATCCCGGCTCGACACGGCCACTTCGGACAGCGGTGCCACAGAGATGGATAAACACGAATGTTTAGGTCGGATGCGTCTTCTGCTCCAAGGCTTGTCACGCCAATTGGAAATGGCGGCCTGCGTTACCTGATCGCAGCTCATATTTACCTCATCATCATCACCAAGAAACACATCAATCTGATCCGCAAACCTGACTTGTTTAGAAACCGCAAGCCTAGAATGGGCCCTCTGAGATGGAATTGATGGATGACAAATCGGATCAACTGCCAAGGAAATTGGATTCAAAGTAGAATGGGAATGAAGGAGATCAACACCAACTTCCCATTGCAGGTTTAGTGCGATCAAACTAGCTTGAAATGGACTAACATACTTCAATTCCTCCATGATGGAATGAGTCCATGACAGCATTTGGCTAGGAAGGTGGTCCCAACAATCGCATGCTGCACCAGGTGGTTCAATCCCCAACTGATAGGCCTCAGCGATGGAAGCAGTGGACCTCACAGTGCCGGCCTCGTGCCATGAATTCTTCAGAACTTCATCAACACGGCCGCTACTCACTGTTGTTTGGAAGGCGCAAATGGCTCCAATGAGCGCTGTCGCTTTGGAGGCTTGGAATCGTCTTCCAGTGCGTCTTCTTCCTGGACTTCGATGACCTTCTGGGTGTCCAGATCCAGCCCCAAAGAAGAGGCGCAATTTTGAAGCACACCCTGCAGCTGCTTCCGTAAAGCTTCCTCTTCTTTGTCTATATGATCTTCTGGCAAATCCTCGGCCTCCGGCTGAGACGTCTGAGGAGGAGGTTGCGAACTCCCAGCTGTAGCACTGCTCAGCTGTTGGATCATTCGGCTGGTGGATGTAATTTCCGATCTGGCTTTGCCCGCCAATTCTGTCAACATCAATTGATGTTTTCGGAAATCTTCTAATTGTTTCTCCCAAAGTTTGATGCCACTTGAGAGATGGGCCATCCAAAGTGACCGATGCGCTCTGCGCTGGTCGGTGACCTCGCCCAGGTGTTTCTTCACCTTCCCCAAATGTTTGGTAGCTTGATGCAGGTTCTTGATTCCCATCCTCCCCGTTTCTTGCTCTGTCTTGGCAATGAATTGCTTGGTTTCTTCCGGCATGGTCGTTGGATCCGGATAGGCCTTGCGAAGATGGTCGAGGAATTCCTGCTTTTCGTTGCTTGTACTGACTGGTAGTTGATTTGCAAAGGGACTGACAGGGGGTGCTGAGATGAGCCCAAACTGCGAGGTATCCATTGGTGCCCAAGGCGCAAAGCCCTCTCCCGGCTGGAAGGGTGATGCCATCTCCGCTTGGGTGTTCTGTCCTTGGAAATTCCCTTTCACAGCTCCTTTCTTTCCAGCTCCCTTGTGCTTCCCTTTGCCCTTTTTGATAGGCTGTTGCTGATTGGACGTCGCATGTGGGCCATCCGGTCGATACTTGGTAGAGGACCGGCTGGCTGACCTGCTGGATGTCCAGCTCTTGTCGTCCTCCCAGTCTTTCCAGGAGTAACCATCCCATTCCTGGGTCTTGGGTCGAGTAGGGTGACGAGTACCCTCTGTCCACGACGCCCAGCAAATGGCACATGTTGTCGCCCACTTTTTGTTGATGCGCCCACAGCTGCATCGCCATGGGTAGTACGTTTCGTTGGGATCTTCTTCTTCTGGATTCATTGCTTTGAAAATGTTGGTAAGGAATAAATGATCTCTGCTGTGATGTCGACTCAAAATCTTCCAAATCTTTCCCAAAGCAGGCTTGGTTAATGAAATCCAACCCCGTTTGTGTAAAAACCAATTTCTCCTGGCTTTGGCTCTGTCTCTGCGATCCTTCCGGCGTGTAGTTGATCTGAGCGGCGTGGTCCCTAATGAATGTAAAAAGGACAATGAATCCCAGAAACACGTGGAGGAAACTGCACATAAACAGGCTCGCCAGTAAACAACCCCGATGATACGCTCACCGGCAGAAGCGAATGGAAATTACCTGCTCGACAAACTTTGGCACCAAGAGACACAACCAGGGCAAGCCAATGCAGTAAATGTCAGGTTGATACCAAAGAAAGAGGTGAAATTAAATGTAAAAGTGTGTCACCAAAGGTCCAACGACAGCTGAGGTAACAAAACAATATCAAATAGATCGAATTGCAAATCACTGAAATCCACTCACCAGTGGTCCGAAGACAGCAGAGGTGAAGCCCAAATCGCAAATAACCAAAATGCCGAAATGTAGCCTTGCAAAGAAATCAGATCCCGCGGGTAGAAGCAATGGCAACCCGCTAAGGTCGGAACAAGTAAGCACGGAGCGGGGGGGTGCTAGGCTTGAACCAAAACCTTCTGGCTGGAAAACCCCCAATAAATGGAAGTTGATTGCTGGGAAAAATGAATCCATTTTCATGGGGGATAGCAGGGGATAGCCCCAAGAATAAACCTCCAATACGGATAAACCTCCAATTTTGGAGGCTTTATGCAATTTTCATCCATTTTATATCACCCATTACTGGTGATATTCATTTTTTGGTCTGAAAATCGGGGCCATTTTTTTCTGCACCAAACCTGGTGACCGGTGCCAAATCCCATGAGTCCACCATAGTCCAATGAGTGCCAGCGATGTTCAAGTCGCCAAGTCCCTGAGTCAAAAAACTTAACGCTGACAATCCAATCCAAGCAGCATCTGGCAGTGTGTCAAAACCATTGGAAAACCCCTTTTTAGTTCACATCAAGTCATAGCTGGGATTTATATGGATTCATGGATGTGAATAACCCACTCAAAATGGTATGAAATCAATAGGTTATTGATCCATAGATCCATAGCTTCCAATTGGGATGGGATTTATGGATGTGAGTTCATCCCACTCAAAATGGTATGAAATCAATAGCTATTTATCCATAGATCCATAGCTTCCAATCCAAGCAGCTCCATGGGAAGAAACTCGAAAGATGCTGAGAATGTCTTCGTGGGGATGAACCGGGATGCCTGAAAAGCCAACGCCGAGGCATGTCTCTGTTGTGTCTGTTGAATCTTTGAATCTTTGATACTCCGTAGAAAAAAATGATGTTAAATGGTTGTTCTTAGTATTGGTTAAATGGTTGTGCTTAGTATTTCTTATCGTTGAACTTAGTATTTCTTATAGTTAAATGTGATCTTCTCATAATGTTTCATGTTAAATGATGTTTCTCTAGCACTCTTTTTGGCATTCCTCCGTAGGAATAAATGGTGATGAACCATCGGTGGAAACTCCACTAGGATGATAATTCAGCGATTGCACTGTTGGTCAACGCTATTTACTAAGCATTTGCAAACGAAAAACAATGAACCGTTGACAAAGTTTACTAATCAGCGACACCATCATCTAACAATTTCCATTGATCACTGATCATCTAACCCTCTGATCATGTCAGAAATTCATTGGTGTCACGAATCAGTGTACTCATTTCCAAATCATCTTACCCTCTAACAGTTTGCTAAACCATGAGAATCAGTTTGGTAATTTGTAATGAGAAAAAATATGATCACTGATCATCTAACAGTTTGCTCATGAAAATCACCATGTCAAAACCTGGCGAAAACTGGCGCCTGTGTGATTGGCGATCCGCTCCTCCAGCCGCGCGACGATGGGATCTCGTCGCGCTCCTCGCTATGAGAAATCAGTCGGGGTGAGATTCCTGGGTCAGTTCTCAAGATTCATATGGATTTGTTCTGTAGATACACAGTGTATATATATTATATATATATAGTGTATATATATGTATATCATTTTAGATATTTCTGAACTCTGAACAAGTCACAGATTTGATTATATACATGTATCATCATCTACTATATATAATATTTATGTATGTGTCATGATGTTTCCAGTTACAATGATCCATATGGAGCCTCCGATTTCAGGGGCATTCATGAATTTGAAGCCATAACTCATCTGCTGATGTCGGGAGTTGCGCTGCTGAATTCCTGACCCTTGTCACCACTGCTTGCCGATTGCGGGAGAGATATTACCTACATGGTGGCTTCCATAAATGGGGATACCCCAATAGCCGGATGATTTATAATGGAAAATCCTATCAAAATAGATGATTTGGGGGCCATATGTGCTTTCCTTTGGAACTGGTGCCAGTCACGGGCTAGTTACTAGTTTATGCCTAGTTTATGCTGGTGTCATCTTTCAGATTTGAATCGAATTCTTGAGTTCCATTTCTTGAAATGACCATCTCCAGCGCTTCAGACCCTGGTTCGCACCCAGCCCAAGGGCTGCCTGCAACGTAGCCTTCCACGGGCAATTCCACCTGATCCATCCCATCGCTACTTCCCCATCCACCCAAGTGGTCGATGAACTGCAGCAGGTACCTGCGATGGCTATGGCATGCTATGGCCATCTGCCGTGGCACTAAAAATCGACCAACCATGGCTATCTGCCGGGTGGCTAAGGGTGGCTATCACCCATCATTGGGGGCCTTGAAAATCGCCCATAGCTGCTGGCAGAAAACCATAGAAAACCCGTTGCTAGAGATGGACATTTGTCACAGGACCATCCGTTCATGGGTTATGAACATTGACGGCAATAAAGGGCTATCTATCTTATCTAATCTAATCTAATCTAATCTATCTATTGTAGATGCAGCAAGCTAGGTTGAGTGATCATCAATCCATGATCTCCTCTGAAAAAGCCAAGGGCACGTGACTTCATCCGCAGAAAGAAAGTGGTCATTTCTGTAGATCTGGCTGCGGTTGTCCACCTCAGTTGGCCAGCCACATCTGATTACAGGCTAGGAAAGAACTGGGATGGGTTTCTTTAAAACCGGGGCTAAGCCTAGGTCGTGTATTTAAAATCATGTTCAGAGGATTATATTGATATATATATATATATATACATAGACAATTGATAAACCATTCAGCTGGGCTGGGGTACCCCCATTTTGGGAAAAGCAACGCTGAGCCCCCAGGCAGCAACGAAGGAAGCGTCCGTCGGCGCGACAACATCTTTGGCGTCGAGCACCGAATTTCTCCTGGTTTCAACTCATGAACTGGGGGTTGTAATTGGGATACCCTGGTCTTTATATATATATATATTACTATATATATATATTACTATATATATATATGAGAGAGAGAGAGAATATGTATGCATATATATATATATGATAATTATATGATAATTATTAAGGTGTAGCAATTTATAATATGTATGTCTACGTGTGGTTATGTGCAGATATATATATATATGTATAGAGATATAATATTTATTTATTTAGTTATATAAACCAAACAAGGGGGACATATATATATATATATACAATAGAAAGAACTCGGAAAACGTTGTTGATGTTGTTGGTTTGAATCAGCCATAGTTGGGCAATGAGTTTAGTGATGTGTCCAGGTCCATCTCGGATCCCAATATCTTGGTTCTCACAGCAAAATAGCTGGGATTTATGGTTGCTCACCCGAAAGAACATATGGTTTTTCATAGGTTTGCTCCATCCCCATGGGCCCATGGTTGAAGTTAAGCTTTACCAACTGATTCAGAAAAAAATCCAGCATGTTTACCATAGTAAGAGCCTATGTCAAAATGGGTTAAATGATCCATACCGGTTGGCTCAATCCCCTTAGGTTGGTACCAACCCCACCGGGATCGACCCTGCCCTGCGCAAAGCCATGGTTCCATTGGATCCAAGCCGCCACCGCTAAGCCCAAACCTCGTCTCTGCCGAAGAAATCGCCATTCTGGGGATGGCCAAGCCAACAAAAATCGGGGATTTGTAGGGATATCATAGAGATATCATGATATCATCATAGATAACCAGTATTAACCATAGAAATCAGGGAGATCATAGGGATTTAACCACTATTAACCAGTATCATTATAGATCATTACTGGTTGGTGGTTTCAACCTACCCCTCTGAAAAATGATGGAGTGAAAGCCAGTTGGGATGATGATTCCATTCCCAACTGAATGGAAAGTCATTCAAAATTCCATGGTTCCAAACCACCAACCCGTAGAGATATCATAGGAACATCGCCATTTTTGAGAATCAAATCGAACTCAACGAGCCATTTGGCGGTTAAACCAGGGTACCTTAGCAGACTGGTATAGCTCGTATAGCTGAATCATCTCAAAAGTTGTTGAAAATTCATAGCATCTTAACCCATCCCAACTTTACGGGCAACTTTCGAGCTCCAAACCGCTTATCAGCCCA